ACTGAAGCCTGTACTACTCGCCTCAGACCAAGGATGAATGCAGCCTCATAGAGTTCTCACATTGGTTTTTTTTTTTTTTTTTTTGAGACGGAGTCTTGCTCTGTCGCCCAGGCTGGAGTGTAACGGCGCATCTTGGCTCACTGCAACCTCTGCTTCCCGGGTTCAAGTGATTCTCCTGCCTCAGCCTCCCGAGTAGCTGGGATTATAGGCTCACGCCACCACACCCCGCTAATTTTTGTATTTTTAGTAGAGACAGGGTTTCGCCATGCTGGTCAGGGTGAACTCGAACTCCTGACCTAGTGATCCACCCACCTCGGCTTCCCAAAGTGCTAGGATTACAGCGCCCAGCCATCTCACATTGTTTTTTTATGTGTTTTGTCTGCAGCCCCACTTCCTGCCTGCAACAGCAGAGCCCATCTCCTCCTGTGCGCCAAGAAGCCCACAGGGTGAGGGCCCCCACTGATGCTCAGTAAACTCTCGTAGGGAGAGGGAAAGGTGCTGTCAGTTCCATCAGACACATGTAGCGACTAGCGTTTCCTTTGGGATTCCCATCAAGTGGGGCTTGCCTATCCTTCAGCCCCCACATTTCTTCTGATGGGAAACACATGCTTTTACCTGCGCTGTCACATTTCATCCTCCAAGAACCCCGGAAAGTGGGTGCTTTATTGCCACTTTCCAGACGAGCATGCTGCCACCCCAAGAAAGGCAGGAGCCTGCCCAGAGCCGCTGCACAGTCAGTCGGAGGCACAGGGGTCAGAGCCAGCTCTGAGTTCCTCAGGGCTGACAGAGAGTTAGCTCCCGTGCCCGCTTCTCTGCCAGACGCCTCTTCCCAGCTAGTTCAGAGCCTTCAACACCAGAAGCCTGCACTCCAGAGGGAAAGTCAGAGCCTGAGCTGTGTATATGGCAGTGAACAAAGACTCAGGGGGCTCTTCCTAAATGTCTTGCTGGAGGGCCAGCGTTTGTGTTGGTGACCTGTCTCTCTGCCTTCTTTCTTTGAGCTGAGTAAGGATTCAGAGAGCTCTCCTTCCACCTCCTGCCTGCATCCCCTCCACAAAGGCACCTGCTCGGGCCTGGCTTTAGCCAGCTCACTGCTCAGCTGCCTTAGCTGAGCCTTAGCCAGCGCTGCGCTGCTGGCTGGGAAAGTTGAGGCTTCTTCATCTGACATTCCACTTGATCCGCCCAAGCTCAGCCCTCCAGCCTCTGCCTGCCTTTCCTCACCGCTCAGTCCCTCTGCCCTCTCTCCTTCCTGTAGGGGAGCTGTGTGGAGATGCAATGTGGTTATCATGAGCGCCTAAGGGGCAAGGAGCGGCCATGTGGGAAGGGGCCAGGCCTTTCTGGAACAGAGGTCTCTTGCAGTGCATCCAGGAAAGCTTCCCTTTGTCTCTCTCCATGCATACTCCCTTTCCACACCTGGCTCCCCCTCCTTCTGGGCCTGGAAGGCTGACTTCTCTGCATCCAAGGGTTTCCTTGCCCTCTGGCTTGCAGCTGGGTTTGGAGGAAGGGAGGGGAGTGAGGACAGGGAATTGATGACCCCAGCTCCCTCCCTGCAAGGTCACCACAGGGTGGCTGTGTCCCTCTGACCCCTGCTTGCAGCTGCTGCCAGGCAGTCACTCTCAGAGGGGCCTCCCCACTCTTGACAGCCCTAGGTTCCAAGGCTCCGCATGTTGGTTTCCCTAAATCCTCCCTCCATCTTTGCACAGACGCGTTATTAAAGTCTCCTCACGCTGCGCAGGGTGAGGCTGCCATCGCGGTGCCACCAGCACCCTACACGAATCCAGTGCTTGAGGAAGAGGCGAATCCCCAGACGGGAAACAGGGACCGAGACAGCAGGCTGTGGGCAGGGGGACACCCCCGCCACTCCCTGAGCATCCTTTTCCTGGAATGGAGGCACCCCTCAGGGAGCTACAGGCAGGAGCTCAGTAAACGCCACTGACTGTCTTAGTGTTTGCTGCTTCCAAGCATGGAGCTGAGAGCAAGGGCTGAAGGCGGCTCCTTCCACTCCTCCCCTAGGAAGGCAAGCTGCTCTGAACCACCCATGGGGACCATCCAGTGCACTAACAGTCACCTCCAAATACTTTGATCACACACCCCAGTGGGTAGAATATTTTTGAGGATGTGCCAAGTATCAGGTCAGGGTCCCAGCAGGAGACAGATGCCACTTTTAAATTAGGGTAATACAAGTTTTCTTCACAAAGGACTCTTTATAAAGGTGCGAGTACAGGGAAAGGGGGGTGTACTGCAGTAAGCAGGAGCTGGCCACCACCGCAGGGCTGTGACTGCTGTGGGGGGCGGGGTGCCGAGCCAAATTTGGAAGGAGAGAGTCAACTTGTAAGCCGCTTCCAGGAAAGAGTTGCCCGCGGTGCCCTGCAGGGATGGAGCGGTGGAATCAATTCCCAATTGCACTTTGCTGTGTCCTCTGATCTCCCCAAGTCTCCCTTCAGTCAAATCCTACCTGACCCCTGAGGGCAGGGAGCCCAGATGAGGGGGTCCACGCAGGATAGCCTCAGAGCGGGACAGAGGAGGTGAAGAACCCAGGGTAAGCAGGAGATACTCAGCGTGTATCCCCAGCAAATGTACACTTATTTATTAGTAAATTCGAAACGTGCAACTGTGCTAATATGTGCATTATAAAGTACACAGAAAGGCCAGGCGCAGTGGCTCACGCCTGTAATCCCAGCACTTTGGGAGGCCGAGGAGGGCAGATCACAAGGTCAGGAGTTTGAGACCAGCGTGGCCAATACGGTAAAACCCCCCTTTACTAAAAATACAAAAATTAGCTGATTGTGGTGGCACATGCCTGTAATCCCTGCTACTTGGGAGGCTGAGGCAGGAGAATCACTTAAATCTGGAAGGTGGAGGTTGCAGTGAGCCGAGATCACACCACTGTACTCCAGCCTGGGCAACAGAGCAAGACTCCATCTCAAAAAAANAAAAAAAAAAAAAAAAAAGTATACAGAAAAAGGGGGATGGAAAAGTATGTGGTAAAATAGTTAGAAGTGGAAGTTCGGTTCCATTTCTTCTACCCCCTGTAGATTCTTTCCTGTGCCGTGGGGGTGTGCTTTCCCTGCTCAGAGGAACACCGTGTTCAAAGGCCAGGGCACGGAAGGAACACTCCAGGGTGATGGGAACACGATCTCGAGCTGCATGGTGACTAGATGAGTGTACACACATGTAAAAAGTGCACGTGGCCGTGTGTGAATCACACACACCCCGATCTGGGCCCGGGGGTTCCCCCTTTTCTTCTACTGTTCACCAGGAGGCTGGGGCTGCCTGTAGTTCCAGGGCTACCGCCCTCCCTGTCTTTTCTTCTCACTCCTCTTAGCCCATCCCTACAAGGCCAAAGTGGTCCAGCCCAGAGTGTCTGCCTCCAGGGGAGACCCAGCCACCTTGTTCAGTGAGAGTAATAAGGAGTCACACGTATATAGCTCCTCCTATGTGCTGGCAGCAGGCTAAGCACTGAATATGAATTCGTTCATTTAGTCCCCACAACAGGTCCGTTAACACTGGTACTGTTTTTACTTTCATTTTACAAATGAGGACACGGAAGCACAGAGAGGTCAAATGACTCACCCACAGCCACACAGCATGCAGAGTAGAGCCAGGACTCACCCCAGGGCCTGTGCTCCAATCCACATTATGCAGCTTCTCTTGTCTTCCCCAGGGCCAGAAAGAAAGCTACACTCGGGGCCTGTTCTCTTGAAGCTGATCTCTTTTTGTCTCTCTCATTTTTCCCAAATTCCAGCCCTTTTCCTCTCACGTGGCAATCGGCGTGGGACCCGAGTCCAGGCAGGGGCTATCTTGGCTGCACTATGGTAATTAACGAGCAGCGCCCTAGAACAGGCAGCGTGGAGGCAGAGGCAAGGCCTGGAGTGGAAACTTTCTGCCAGCCAGCCTGGAGGAGGGACAGGTTTCTGTTTGCTCAGACAACCTCGGGCAGGCTGGCTTCCTTCTCTCCCTCCCTGGCTGACTGGCGACCCCTGACCTCAGCTCTTTGCCACCTCCCTCCCCACCACCTGCAATGGGTTGCTGCCCCTAGTCCATGAGATGCGCCCCCGCCTTCCAGGCCTAGGGAAATCCCACAGTGTCTTTGGAGAGTGTCCTCCTCGCCCCAGCCTTGTGAATCTGAGAGCCCGGATTCCCTCGCTGCAACTCCTGGAAGGCAGGAACCACATCTGTCTTCCCCACTGTCACCACCCGACACCTTCCTCAAAGGTGCTTTGGGACACAGAAGGTACCAATGACTGCTGGAATCTGCGAAGGAACGTTCAGATGTGCTCAAGGGTTTTGACATGTTCTGTGGGCCTGGTGGGTCACCAGTGTTTTCCAGCAGGTGAGTTTCACGGTCAGAATTGTCCAAGTGTCCTGGGGTGACTGGGGCTGGCTGATGTCTCCCCTCCCTTCCTTTTTTTTTGTTGAGACGGAGTCTCTGTTGCTCAGGCTAGAGTGCAGGGGCATGATCTCAGCTCACTGCAAACTCCGCCTCCCAGGTTCAAACGATTCTCCTGCCTCAGCCTCCCGAGTGGTTGGGACTACAGTGCACACCATCAAGCCCAGTTAACATCTTCCCTGCTTTCTGAAGTGTCTGCTGAGAGCTCAAGCAGCCTGATGAGCCTCTCCCCAGGGACTGCAAAAGAAAGGGTGGACCCGGCTTATCAGCAGCACGAGGCATGGGCCGCAGCAGGGCGGCGCTCACAAGGCCTGCTTCCCCAGTCATTGGGCACCATTAGTGCCCACCCGGTGGGAAAAAGCCTGCAGGGCATGGGCCTCGCCACAGCCTCCCTCGCGTCAGAAGGCCCTGAGCAGACTGATCTCCGTCTCCTCACAAGACAGGTCACTCCCCTCCCAAGCTTCCAAGCCTTTACTGGAGCTGTTTTCTTGTCCCTTAAGTCTGTTGGTATTGAAGTCTGGGCGGCCTGACAGCCCTGGCAGGCAGCCCAGAGGCCAGCGCCCCAGGCAGACACTCTCTCTGCCTTATTATGCAGCTTCGGGGCCTCGCTGCGATTGGGTGGCATTTGTGAGCACAAAAGAGAAGACTCAGGCATTCAGAAGGCCCTTTCAGCAAAGGGCGCCACAGGCCTGCTGGCTGAGATTCTCCTGAGGTTGGTCGGAGTCTATTTGCAGGCATGCAGGCATTTCTGTTTGCTTCCTGACCCTGGCCTCCTGGGCACTGGGGGGGGGGGGGGGGGGGGGGGCAGGCCTCTGCATGCGGGGACAGGAGGGGGTTGGCACTGAGGTTTCTGCCAGGGCCTCCCTGCCTGGAGGACCTGGCCCTGTGGTCTTCCCCAGGCCCATGTGCCCTGCTTGCCTTCCCTCTCACCAACAGGGTGATGAGGTGGCATCCACAGGGGTCAGTCCTGTGCCACCTGGCCTCCCCCTCCCTGCCAGTGTGGCTGAGAGTCAGCTCTGAAGGGCCAACCCCCTTTATTGGTGCCCCACATGACTGGGATTCCTTGGTCACATCATCATCTGTGGTACCCAGGTCAAAAGTCCTGCCAGTGGCGCACCAAGCCCTCCTCTTGGTCGGAAGCAGCAGACTAGAGCAGGGGAAGGGAGAGCTGAAGCTGGCGAGGGGCTTTCGAGGTAACAGCCTGTCCCATGCTGCTCCCTGCCAGCCCCAAATCAGGAGTCCCTCTGGCCCCCGCCCCACCTTGTTTCTAGTCCTGGGAGCGATGGGCTGGGGGCTGGAGGCTCTGAAAATTCCACCCAGGTATGGTGCCCCAGTTCCAGCATACCCCATGGCCGTCTGTTGTGGATTTTAAATCTGTTCGCTGAGTAGTCCCAGTTCAGCTCAGCAGACAGCAGTATTTGCTTATTAATTTGTTTATTGATTTACTGGGCTGTACTTGGGGCTTCTCCCGGGAAAGACTCCAGACGCGTGTGCGCCCAGCTCCAGCCATCCATCAGACTCAAGTTTGGGCTTAAGATGCCACAAGGCCTGGAGCAGGCAGGCCTAGAGCCAGCGCAAAGCTTCCAGAGGACGGACAGGACCATGGGCACTGGAGGACTGCAGGCAATTTGGGAGGAGGGAGGCCACCTGCAGCCACTGCAGGGATGCAGGTACACTGTACCCTGTGGGAATGGCGCCCCCTGGAGTTGTGCAGCTGGGCAATCCTGGTTTGGGCCTCTCCCTATAGAGTGAGGGGAGCACATGTCTTCTAGGAGCAGCCCTTCTCTGTCTCAGCCCATATTTAAGAAGCCTCCTTCCAGAGGCAGGGGATGGAGGAGAAAACCAGTCCAAGGTCTTCCGTGCCCCAGAGACTCAGATTCATGTCTTCGGATGGGTTTTCCAACGTGCCAGGATTAAGTAAGGTGAGGGGTGTTTCTAGCAATGATTCTCTCAGCTCCTGCATAATAATACTACGTTTTTAAAAAACCTCTGAGGACGTGTCTGTGGCTTTGTTGCCTTTTTGAGGCATATGCTGACTACAGATTGTGGCAGCAGGATGGAGGGGAGAGGAGGAGAACGGGGAGGCGGGGAGGCCGCAGCGTCTGAACAGACTTCTGTCGCGGATGTAGAAAGAGCCTTGCCCGAGGACTTGTAAGAGCAAGATGGCTGTGAATGTGGACTTCGCATCAGGCCCACCTGGGGTGAGTCCTGGCTTCTGCATTTAGGAGCTGGGCAACTTCAGGCAAGTTACTTACGCTTTCTGTGCTTCATCTCATCTGTAAAGTGACAGTCAGCTTGTCAGCCTCATAGGACTGATGTGAGGGTTATAAATGAGACAATGTAAGAAACACATTAGTATATAATTAGTTGTTACCTCCTTATCTCAGATGTAAGATGGTAGATGTGATGCCTCCTGGTGGAACTCTCACCCCTGGAATGAAAAGAGGGCTGTGTCTGAGAAAACCCAAGGGCTCCCTTTTCAGATCTGCCTTTCTCGTTGGCTGCTCTGGACTTCCCTGGGCCTCTCTGGTGCCCCTTCATTTCCCTTTCCCTCCATGTCCAATATCAAAACCTCCCGATATGTCTTTCAGCCAGCATAGATGTACAGGAGGTCTTGGAGGATGCTGGGCGTGGACACAGGTGCTCAGGTCGGGAGCGGGAAGGGGTGGTGGGTACTGTCAAACCCCGCCGCCTTGTGAGAGTGGAGCATGCTGGCTGAGGAGCCCCACTGCCCAGGCTCCAATCCCAGCTCTGCCGGGCACTGCTGTGCAGCCTTGCGCAGGTGGCCGAATCTCCCAGTGCCTGGTTTCTGCATCTGTGCAGGGAGACAATGATAGTTTCAAACTTAGCTCAGAGGGTGGTGAGGGTAAGCAAGCTAATACGAGTTACACGCTTAAAATACAAAGCACCCGGTACATAGATCCAAGCCCTCCCCAATATCTGCCATCCTTCCTAGCCCCTCCCTGAACACACCACACTGAAGCCACGTCCAGTCGGGGCCTCTTTGCCTTTGCACTTGCTGTTTCTTAGTCAGGAAGATTCTTTCTCCCAACCTAAGTCTTTCTCATCATTCAGAGCCTTGCTCCACCCACTATGGAAAAATCTTTCTCAGTCCCTTGGGATAAAATTTCACTGTCTCTCTCTTTCTCTCCCTCCTGAACTCCCCAAACTCTGCGTGTATCTGTCTCAGTTATAGCACTTTCTTCCCTCTCCTTCCACTCCCGCTGTTCTTCGAGACTTGATGTAGATGTCACTCCCTCCAGGAAGCCTTCTCAGATCCCCTCCCACCCTTCCCTCCCCTGCGCTTCCTCCCACAATACCCTGTGCCTACACATCCTCACCTCACTCTGAAGGATGCGTTAGTCTGTTTCTTTGTGTGTCTCCTCCAGCTGATTATGAGCTTCTAGTGACGGGTCAATGTCAATGTGAGTTAGCATTACCATGGGCTGTGGGTCATGAATAATACAACAGCAAATATTGGCTTATGCAATTTTTTTTTTGAGATGGAGTTTCGCTCTTGTTGCCCAGGCTAGATGGAGTGCAATGGCGTGATCTTGGCTCACCGCAACCTCTGCCTCCCAGGTTCAAGCGATCCTCCTGCCTCAGCCTCCTGAGTAGTTGGGATTGCAGGCATGCGCCACCATGCCTGCTAATTTTATATTTTTAGTAGAGATGGGGTTTCTCCATGTTGGTCAGGCTGGTCTCGAACTCCCGACCTCAGGCAATCCTCCCACCTTAGCCTCCCAAAGTGCTGGGATTACAGGCGTGAGTCACTGTGCCCCGCAGTTTATGCAGTTTAGCAGTTTTCTTTCTTTCTCTCCTGGAGGTCTGCAGTATGGGGCTGGTTGATGGCTCTGTTTGATATGTTCCTCTGAGGCCCAGGCTTCTACTGTCTTGTTGCTCTGTGAGGGGTGACTTCCATTTCCTCACAGTCCAACATGGCTGCTTCAATTCCAGCCATTTCATCCACTTTTCAGTCACCAGGGGGAAGAGGGAGTGCTAGCCATCCCTTAAAGAGAGTTTCAGAAGCTATCACTTGACACTTTGCACTGTATTGATTTGAATTTAGTGAAAGGGCTATGTTTAGCTGCAAGAGAGGCTGGGAAATCTAGTCTCTATTCTGTACACTATGTGCCTTCCCACAAATTCCATGACTAGGGAAGAAGGGGAGAGTAGAGAGGGGACGACCAGCAGTCTCTGCCATAGGGCCCTTGCCTCACTCATCCCTGTGTTGTGCCCCAGCCACCCCACAGCACATTGCCTGGGACATAGTAACCACTCCATGTTTGCAGAAAGGCCTGTATTGAAGGTTACCATGTGTGTGTTTGCCTTCCTAACAGGAGTAGGTGTGTGGCCGCCGCTAATTGATCCATGTGTTCCCCCTCACCAGTTTAATCATTCAGCAAACATCTGTGCTTCCTGTACACTGGATGTCGTCCTAGGTACAAGGATGAAGTCATGAATAAAAGAGGTGGAAGTCTGTACCCTTCTAGGGCTCACATCCCAGTCGCTTCTATAGTGGTAGAAAGCAGTGTTCAGCCAGAAGCGATGGCTCATGCCTGTAATCCCAGCGCTTTGGGAGGCTGATGCGGGTGGATCATCTGGAGTCAGGAGTTCAAGACCAGCCTGGCCAACATGGAGAAATCCTGTCTCTACTAAAAATACAAAAACTAGCCGGGCATGGTGGCACATGCCAGCTACTCAGGAGGCTGAGACAGGAGAATCACTTGAACCCGGGAGGCATAAGTTGCAATGAGCCGAGATTGTGCCATTGCACTCCATCTTGGGCAACAAAGTGAGACTCCGGCTCAAAAAAAAAAAAAAAAAAAAAAAAAAGCAAGCACTGTTTGCAGTGCTTTCTTTCTTTCTCTCTTCATTAAAAAAAAAAAAAAATTTTGAAACAGTGTCTTTCTCTGTCACCCATGCTGGGGTTCACAGCTCACTTAACCTCCTGGACTCAAGTGATCCTCTGCCTCAGCCTCCCCAGTAGCTGGGATCACAGGTGTGCCCGTCACACCCAGCTAATTTATTTATTTATTTTTGAGACAGAATCTTGCTCTATCGTCCAGATTGGAGTGCAGTGGCATGATCTCCACTCACTGCAACCTCTGCCTCCCGGGTTCAGGCACTTCTCTTGCCTCAGCCTCCCGAGTGGCTGGGACTAAAGGTGTGTGCCACCACACCCTGCTATTTTTTGTATTTTTAGTAGAGACGGGGTTTCACTGTGTTAGACAGGATGGTCTCGATCTCCTGACCTCATGATTCACCCGCCTCGGCCTCCCAAAGTGCTGGGATTACAAGCGTGAGCCACCGCGCCCAGACAGTTTTTTTGTAGAGCCGAGGGTCTTGCCATGTTGCCCAGGCTGGTCTTGAACTCTTGGGCTGTAAGGCCTCTCACAGCCTTACAGGTGTGAGCCACTGCGCCTGCCCCAAATTGCTTCTGAGGACTAAGTCATGCAAGCTGGGCCCTCACATTAGTCACCTCTGTCGTACAGGTGAGGAAACTGAGGTACAGAAAGGTTGAGTGACTTGCTACTGTTGCTGCACGGCTTATGTGGGGCAGAGCTGGGTTTCGACCTGGGTGGTCTGCTGGAGAGCCCGCCATTGCCTCTGGCACCCTTGCACCCCAGTGCCCTCGCTGCCCCCCCGCCTGTGCCCTGCTTCCCTCAGTTAACCAAGCCACAGATATTTCCCATAGTTTCTGTCATCAGC